GGTTGAGAAACCTTTATTCCGAACCGATGTTGTATATGGTCTCCAACATCTTAGGCGAACATATGGAGTATGGACCTAATGTTGTTCACTGGTTGCCATGCGACTGCATGTCCTGACATTGTTCCACTGCCTTGTGAATTACACCTCTAGGTCAAAGGCTCGTGGTGTGGCTTCCTAAGAAATCTACCTGCTTCGGTTTTCGTGACCAAGCAGTACTCTAGTCCACACACAAATCATATCTGTTTGATGCCTCTTTGTACAAATGTTTATGTGTTTCAATAAAATAACTAGGTAAAATTATTTCGTCGGTAATAACCAGTTTTCAATATGAATCATATCATTCGATTTGATTCAATACATCCATATAAATATAAATATATGAACACTTGTGGTGTATACTACTTATGTATATCGAAATAAGTAGTATGTAACACCAATCAGAAATGGAAAGCCTGGCAACAAAAAGCTAAGAAGGTCGAGTTGAAGGGAATAGAAAGGGATTGCGGCTTGGAATATTCACATGGAATGTGTGATATGATCATAATGCACTTCAATTCATGATACTGTGTCCTTGATTTGTATTACATTACCTAATCTGTATATATGGATTCCCTTGATTTCACTAGCTTAAGCATTTTGTAGAGATTTTTGACTGTTTGAAGGCTGTTTTTTATCGTAAACCAAAAAATCCAGAATATACTGAGCAGTTGGGTCGATCGTAGTACGAGGTTTCTGATAGGTGGATACACTCATAATGTCATACTACGTTGATCATAAAATCTTAAGATAGTGGAGAAGATTTGTAGCTCAAGTGAATGATTTTGATGGAGTTTAGTTCTCTGAGTTGGATGTTTTGATCGTGGAGCTTTCATTGTTCTCCTGAATGATATCATCAGCATAAATTTCAGATAGGACTGTGAATAAAACTTCATCAAAATAAAATCTTAAAGTTGTTTAGTAAATAGAATAATATTTAAACACTGAATGACATAAGAATTCAGTCAATTTGTGATATAACTTGATCAAAATAAGACATCACTAACGAATGATTCTCTCATATGGGATTCGAACTTGTATTCAAATTTAGATTCATAATTTAGGACTTCAACACTGAACTATTTGGAATACGGCTTATCTCCTGAAAAATTGAGACTACTCTCATTCATTTAACATGTCAACATAGTATATGTGAAATTGAGTTTCCTAAAGTTTCCTACCACATTACAACTTCTTTGATATAATTCGATAAGAGCTAAAGAATAAGGTAGCCGATATTGATTACTTTATAATAATGATTCAATTGTAAACAGTTAAATGTTTCTTAGTTTAACTACTATTACACAGTTCCCACTAAGAACTTTAAACGATTATTAGTATCTGAAAGAAAATTATCAAAGATTATGTTTGGTCAGTTCAGAGGTATATTTCCTTCAATGATTTTGAAATCCGTTTATTCAAGAGTTCAGCAGCCACAATTTCTTTTAAAGTTCATATTCATAAAAAGAGTTTTCTTTTGTACTATCAGTGCACTTTCTGGATGATGTCTAGGAGTTAAGTTACTATCAAGGAATCTAGATGGATAACCAATCCGGCAAGACTCTAATTTATGGACGAGCCAATCAGAGGCTTTCTAGAGATTTCAAGGTTACCGCTCCAACTTCAGTGCTTTAGGTTAACGTACGGTCGGTTCACAAGGAATTTTGTACAAAATGTGATAATTGAGCAGCTATAACAAATCAAACGGCGAGAGTATAATTTGTGGACGAATCAATCAGGTATAAGATAATAGATCACCGATTTTAACGCCTAAGCCTTTCATCCAGTTGGCTAAATAAATTTCTGGCATATATAATTTCTAACTAAGGCAAATTACGAAAATTATCGCGAACTGGATAATAAAAGCACCAGTAACACTGGCTGCAGCCAGGTACTACAATATATACGGATGTTTGGAGAGCGTACAGACTGCTACATAGGCTTGGTTATATGCATCGTGTTGTTATCCACAAGTGTCATTTTGTGCACTCAACAACCGGAGTACACTCAAACAATATTGAAGCTATATGGTCGAGGCTGAAAGAGTTTTTGAGACTTTATCACGGCTCCAGAGGCCGACCATTCTGTAGTCGTATGTATGATTTCCTCTACTGTATGCATTACGATTTTAGAGCCTCTGAGCCTCTTTCTAACCTTGGCAAGTTTTTGAACCACGTATAAGAAGTGTATCCACTTTATTTCCTCGGTTCTGTATAACATATTTTTACTCTATACTGACTGTCTACTGATTGGTTAATATTTCCCACGGTCACTTAGGATTCGTTCAAAGGTCGTCCATAAATTAGAGTCTCGTCACCATTCCTAATAAGAATCTGACGAAATTATAGTAGTTCCTCATTTATTGTGTCAGTAAAATATATTCGCTTGATCCTTGAGGATAAGGCGTGAACTAAGTTCCTATTTCTAATTAGTGGGACCCAGCTATGGAAATTCTTCGTTTATAAGAAGTGATTCAATACCGTGTTCAAACATGATGTAAAATCAAATTTATGAGACTAATTTATAAACTTTACTTGTTCATATAAATAAGCGTTTTGTCGAACACATTACTTATAGTTCAGGAGTTGAAGATCATAGGTGAAAATATTCGTATTTAACACACCTTAGGGATTCATATACGTATAAGTTTCTGGTAAGTAACAATAACAAAAAAGTAACTCAGAAACTACAATCTATTTTCTAAATACTTCTTACCAGCCAGTATCCATTCTTCTATCCATAAACCAGTATTCACGTACTTATGTCAAAAGAAACGAAATCAAATCATAGATGGCGTACATTTGAATCGTTTGTCTGATGTATTTCTTCACAGTCGATTTCTAAGACGACAAAATTAAAGTTCTCAAACATTATTCCTTTAACTTAATTAAACACTAATACTTTAGTCTGTTAACATCAGAACTGATCAAAAGACAAGTAATAAGAATAGGGAAATGATCATAGTTTCTTCAGATTTATAATGTTTATGACAATTTGTTAGTTAATTTCATTCTAAAAGACAATCATATGAGTATAAGATAACTCACCTCTGATCTCCCTTTTGTAAGAAGAAAACACTGCAAAAGAGTTAGTCAGTGATTATTTCCATTGAGAAGTAAAAGCAATTGAAGTTTGATATACATAACATATCATCCTTATTGAATTCGATTCTGAACCATGTTCAATAACATCTGAAGATACCCAAAGATAACAAATTAATTAACATTCAAAGAAAGAAATGATCAGGTTTCATTAGTATAAATAACAATTCCTCTTATCGAGGCATTTTATATTCGATCATTTACAGCTAGATTATTATCATGATGGAGCGAGAAAGTGATCCACATAATCATAAACCGTTAGAGTTTTCATTATAGATAGATTGATCTCAATTGACAAACCATTACAATCCTCACATAATTAACGAAATATTCGAGAGAATTTCTCCTTAATCTGTAAATCTAGGGTCTTAAACTACAATATCCAAATCAATAAGTTAGTTATAAGTTTCTAATAAAGTAGTAATGGTTGAAGAAAATAACTTCGAAAAAACATGGAAGTTCGACTAAAATCTCGGAAAGGCTCCTCATTTACATAACAGTAATATATACTATCAACGTAAAATGGTCATAGATACAATAAGGACACTACTCATAAGGGAATTTCGTAGCTTAACATAAGGAAAAGTATCATGCACAATCTGAATACGTAATTTCATTCAAATAGACACAGAAAGTTGTAAGATTACTTAAATGCTATTTTTATGGACAAGTTTTTGGAGACATTATAAATCTAGTTTGAAGTAAGAAAATAATAAGATATACAACTTGAATCTAATAGCCGTTGCTTACTTACTTACGCCTGATACCCCTTAAAAGGAGCATAGGCCACCCACCAGCATTCTCAACCCAACCCTCTCCTGGGTAATCCTCTCCAGCTCCTTCCAATTGTTATTCATCCTTTTTTCGACGTAATGTATTTTTTGGCCTTCCACTTTTACACTTCCCTTCAAGATTCCAAGTTAGGGCCTGCCTCGCGATGCAATTTGGTGATTTCCATAATGTATGTCCTATCCATTTCCATCGTCTTTTCCTAATTTCCTATTCAGTTGGAAACTGGTTTTTTCTCACCACAGTAGGCTGTAGTTAATGGTTCTCGGTAGACGGGTATTGAATATCTTGCTTAGACAACTATTTATAAATACTTGTACATTTTTGATGATGGTTATAGTAGTACTCCTCGTATCAGCTTCATACAATAGAACTGTGTTGACGTTCGTATTGAAGATTGTGATTTTGATATTAGTTGACAGACAGTTGTTTTGAGTTGCATATATTGTTTAATTGTAGGAATGCTGTCTCACATCTTTCAGAGTTTCCCATCAAGTGTGATTGGATTAGTGTTCTCCGTACTGCATTTGAGGATCTTGTTATTTCCTTTGTGTATGCTAAGGCCTACTGATTTAGAGACTGCTACTAAACAAGTTGTCTTTATTCGCATTGGTTCGTGCGTATAGGATAAAAGATCTAGGTTATCTGTGAAATCTAGATCTTCTAATAGATTCCGAGCTCTCCATTGTATTCCATGCTTCTCGTCAAATGTCAAGATTTTCATACTCCGATCAATCAATCAATCAGAAGTAAAAGAAAGTTTTTGACTAAGTATCTTCTTGAATTCTTAAACTGAATCATAAACACTTAGATCTTCAATCTAATAATCTCTATAAATAAAAAGTTATTTAGGCGCTAATTTTCATTTCCAATCTAATAATATTTTTATAAAACAAACTATAAATCATTCATGGTCAAAATATAATTCAACCAATCAGAATACAATTTTATGTAAAATGAATACAAGTATTTGATTGGTCGAAGAAATTGACTTAAGAATTGATCGAATGATTTAACCAATCAGATATCGATTGTTGGTTTTTTTAAACAAACATTTACCGGTAAATATAAATCGTGCGGTATCATCCAAAGAAAAACATAGATTCATTCAAATCATACATGGTTTGATTATTATCCATAGAAAAAATGAATTAATTTCTATTTCTTTCTTGTATAAATGATCTATATCTTTATTGTATATGTATAAATGTTCAATTTCAATGTAATATTGGATATATTTTGTTTAATTAGAAGTTCTATGTAAATCATTGTCAATAATGAAAGATTTTGAATTAGATAAATATTCAAATGCATTAGTATCCCATCGTAAATCATTAATAAAATCAGATTATAAAACGACTACACATTGTAATAATGAAAAACGTTTAAATTATCCATTTACAGATTTTGAACATTGGGATAAATTCTCGAAAACAGGTAATAGTAGTAATAGTAATAATAATAATAATAATAACAATAATAATGGAGATTCTAAATCATTATCCCATATTAAATTACCAGAACGACATGTATTCACTGCATCCACAGCATCATTAATTGTACATGTACCTAGTCTATCTTATGTAAGTGAAGATATAGATGATGATTTATCAGATCATGAAATTTCTAAATTAAATCTAAATCTAAATAATAATAATAATAATAAAAACCATAATCGAATTTGTCCAATATGTAATACCATTTATATAGATTTACAACAACAGTTTGACGATTTTCATTTAAAACGATTCTTTAGTTTATCCAGTATGAATGTAAATATGGACGGTACTACTACTACTACCACTAATAATAATAATAATAATTATGATAATAGTAGTATAACTATACCAAGACTATGGGATATACTTGATATATTTTCAACTAATTCATCTAAAAATTTTTGTCCATTTCATAAAAGTTTAAGTCTACATTACAGTACATTTTCATCTACTACTCATAATAATAATATCAGTTCAACTTTAACCAACTCACTTAGTCTACCATGTTTATCTAATTTTGATGAACAATTAACAATGATATCAACAAGATCTAATGAAAATACCATTTTACATAGTAACAATAATAATAATAATGTAATATACAATAGAAATATTAATAATACTCCATCAATTTCAATAGAATATGCTGATAATATCTCTATTACTACAAATAATTCACAAGAACAAATAATCAATAATCAATTATCTGGTGAAACTAAAAGTAAGTGTGAATTATGGTTGAAAACATGTTAATGTTTTGTTTGTCTTTTTTTGGGGGGGGGTGTTTTTGTTTGTTTTTTTCTTTATGTTGATGTTTACTCGTTTTCATTTTCTCTTTATTTTCAAAATTGATCATAATTAAAATGATAAATGTAAACTAAATAAACTGAAACACTGAAAATAATAATCAATATTCTATATGTTATCAATTTTTTCTTTCATTAATATGCTGAACATTATTGAATACATGATGACATATTGTTTTATTTGTCCCTTCGCCGCCCCCATTCTCACTCTCTCTCTCTCTCTATCCCATACACATACATACATAGTTGATCTTCTTACATTTTATCACTGAATGTTCTCTCTGTTAAAAAAATATTGCTTTTATTGTGAATATCCTAATTTCTAACGTTATTGTTACTAATGTTGTTATAACGTTGTAGTGATGGTTAATGTCATTTCTTTTATTTCCCTCTCTCTTTCTCTCTCTCTCTCGCTGGCTTCCTTGCTCGCTCTGTCTCTCTTTTTGTCTCTTTGTGAATTTTAATTCTTGTAAAAGTGAAAAGAAAAGTATTAAGAAATCTTCTATTGATGAATGAGTTATTTGTTGTTTTTTTCGATTATTTTTGGTGTAATAGGCGTTGAAAATGATGATGATGATGATTATGGTACAGTCTTTATAATTCGAATTATAAAGTGTAATAACAATAATACTCACAATTGATTGATCATTGATTGGTGATCAATATCATGTGTTTCAGGTCTTTTGACTAACTCAAGTCTCTAACTGTGAAGTTAGGTGACATAAGATCGAATCCGTCTGGGAGTATTTTTTTTCCTTAAGATTATAGGTACACCTTACTGATGAGTGTCAAATAATACAAAACCCGGTTCTAGGGTTACATGTTGTCTACTTTCGACCATCATTTTATGATAATAATACTGTTTTGTTCATTTATAGAATAATAAAAGCAAAATGATTGAAACAATTGACATTCATTCATGATATATTAATCATAATAAATATTATACTGTACAGACGGTAATTAATAATAATCCCATTGATTGCACAGCAAACGTTTCATCCATACAAGAACTAGAACCAAATATAACATGGGTCGACGATCGTTAATGTAAATAAAAGGACAATTAACATTAATACATTGAATGTATTGACCTCATAAAGTATCGAGATCGTGTTATGTTGCATAGTTCAATTACTTATGTTGATTATTCCTTATATGTAGTAGTAACATATTCACAAGCAATCCATTCCTTTTCATAAAACCAATTTATGTAATTATACTAAGAAAATTCAACTAAATAGATTTAACGATATAGTTAAGGAATAATGTAAGTACGGTTGAAACTTTTCTTCAGGATAAGGATACCCGTAGATGAATACGTTTACCATTATTTCTTCTTATTTAAATCATATGAACCTTAAAGTAACCTTAGAAATTCATAAATTTTGTCGGAACTTTATACACAGACTTTTCAGTGGTTGAGATCATGAATCAATTGAAGTTAGACCACTATAGAAAACCTGGAAGCACTAAACGGTCAACTCGTTCTATTGTCGAACTCCTCAGCAATGCGAATCCACGATCCCACCTTGAGAGATTCAAACCCAGGACCTAACGACCTCGCACGCGAACGCTTAAACACTAGACCACTGAGTCGGCTGGCATCCAATGGTGTTAATGTTTAGCTTCAAGCACTCCACGAAGTGCATATTTTTCAAATCTATAATTTTTTTCTCCAGCTAGAAACTGATCATTTTTATAACCTATTTGTGGATTAGCTAAAAAAGATATCAGCTTTTTATGCTAAATATTATATTAAGAGTCCTTCAACTCCCTCTCTGATTACTTCAATTTGACTAAATAAACTCGATTTAATCTAGCATATCTAATCTCTGAAATATTGATTTCCACAAGTTATACTTCCTAAAGAGTTTCTAATTTTTGATTGAAATCATCAGTCGATCAATGTTAAAACATTATTTAAAGCTTAGAACCACTGGATGGCCGTTTCGTCCTATTATTGTACTCCTTAGTAGTGTTCAATCAAGATCCCACACTTAAGACTCGAAACTAGAACCTTCGAAATCAGTTTTCTAGCATTAGATAATATGTGCTAACTGTTGTATGATAATATTTACCGTATAAACATAAGCTATTTTTATTCCTTTTGAAACGGTTGATCAATTTGTAGCCATAAGTCGTATATATGGTATCGAACCCGAAATCTTTAAATCTTTTGTCAATAACTATACTATTCAACCATTAAATTAAAATCGAATGCTCTAAATGTTGAACCTTAACCAGGTTATTATTCAAAGAAATCACCAACTATCAAATTCAATGAGCTGTATTATCATTCCCTCATTGGTTAGTTCGGTAGAATATGGGTCCATTTTAAGAAAATTCCAGATTATTTGTAAACTATTCATTACTGAAAACATGTTAATTATCCCATTGTAGGACGAAACGACCATCCAGTGCTTCCAGGTTTCCCATAGTGATCTAGTTTCAATTGACTCATGATCTCAACTTTCATTACATAAACTCTATTCATTCATTTAGACTAGAGTAATGTAAATTTCATTGATCAGAATAGCATATCATCATCAGTTTTCTTTTGTTTAATCAGTCAGATGATATTAGATTGTTTATCATTATTATTAAGTATAGAATAAATGATTCCATATATGATTTATACCGCAAATATAATAATTCAATAAACATTACTGTAATATGTAACTACTAGATGTGTAAACAATTTTTCCTACTGATAAGTGATTCTCAATAGTTGAGATCATGAGTCAATTGAAGCTAGACCACCATGGAAAACCTATGAGCACTAGATGGCCGTTTCGTCCTACCATAGGACTCCTCAGCGATGAGCATCCACGATCCCGTCTCGCAAGATTCGAACCCAGCACCTATCACTCTCATGCATGAGCGCTTAACCATTAGATATATCATATGAAGAAACTATCTGATTTAAGACGTATTTGTCTTGAAATATTAACACATTCCTTGCCCCACATATGATCATCTTATGTAACCTGAAATGTTCAGTTGATATTGAATAGTTATGTACTATTTATCTAGTAAATGTTTTTCTTTTAATTTGAACAACCTGTTCAGTCTGTGGTGTGTGCTACTGTTGTCGATAAATATAAGTAGTATGTAGCATCAATCGAAACTCAACATTAAGAAGTTCGAAAAAAAGTGAAATAGAACAGTAAACGATCGCTATAGAAACAAAGGAACAATGAAGTCTAAGGTGATTGATAGACATTTTACAAATGAAGTATTTACTGTATGGTTCTCAAACCCTACTAAGATGTTCTGAATTTCTGTATTCATATACATTCAGTTTCCCGGATTTGTTTTCTTCTTCACTACAAGCATACTTAATTGATTAGTCTTTTTTTTAAAAAAAAAAGGGAAGTCTATTTAATAGACCAATCAAACTACATACCTTAATAGGAACTAAAACCAAATTTTTATGAGCATTGATTGATAGATGAAGTGTTAAATATAAGTAGTTTCGATCTATAGACCACATTCATTGTAGTAAAAGATTATAATTTTATAATTTTATACATTCAATGTCCAATTCTTATAATCATGTTTCAATGTGTTCAGTTATGTTAATGGATTCGAACTGGATGTTTATAAATTAGTAGTTGACCAACAATGAAAGCAAGAAGTCATATTCGATCCTTGATAAAATTCGTTCTTTTGGCAAATTTATATCTTAGTGATAATGTTAAAACACCCATTATGACATTAAATAAGAAAGAAAGATTAGTTCAGTGAAGAGTTCTCCCCCCTTTTCGGTGAATTCATTTTCAAAGCTGTACAATTACAAATACATATACTTATTTTTACAGGATGATAATAATACTAATAATAAACTTCTGTTATACATGGTAACAGTGAAGTTAAATAAACAAAAGTATTAGAAAAAAAAATTTTTTTAACAAGGAAAGTTTGATAGTTAATGGCTTAAGTATTCATCGGGTAAGGGTAGCTCAGCATGATAAAATAACATAAAATGTTGAAACGGAGATGAAATGTAATCGGAATGATCGTGGAAATAAAGACAAACCGGTTGGGGGTAGAAGATTTGAAAGGAAGATGGAAGGTGAAGCAGGTGGCTGTAAAAGAACAAGAGTAATGAGAAAGAGAAAAAAATTTTAATATATTAAGACCATGGTAAAAGAAGAGGTTGTACCAGTCTCTTTTGTACACATAATTGTGGTTTTTCAAAATGTATGGCTATTGCCTCGGCAATGCAAAGAAGATGCAGTCTAATTGTCTTAGGAAGGCTTCTACTTACCTTGTAGATGACTTTGAACGCAGAGTCTGTCTTGATTGAGTGACCTGTGTTCACAAGGTGTTCGATTATAGAACTTCTTATTGAGCCGTTACCTCCTCTTTCCTTGTTTTAAAAAAAAATTTTCCTAATACCTTTGTTTATTTAACCTCACTGTCACCATGAATAACAGAAGTTTATTATCAGTATTATTATCACCCTGTAAAAATAAGTATATATATTTGCGATTGTACAGCTTAGAAAATGAATTCGCCGAAAAGAGAACTCTTCGCTGAACTAATCTTTTTTTCTTATTTAATGTTAAAACAAACACAAATTCATACTCATTACCGAATATATTCATTGATTGAATAGACAACTACACTAACCTTAATGTCAAACTCAAATTGACAGACTATATAGAAACAAGTTAATGAAAATATATACATAATAAATAAAAACTATTATATTAGGTGAATAACAATTCAGTACCTTAAATACTTACTTACTTACTTACGCCTGTTACTCCCATTGAAACATATGCCGTCGACCAGCATTCTCCAACCCATTCTAAACTCGACCATCCTTTCTAGTTCTATCCAATTTTTGTTTATTCTTCTCATGTCTGCTAACATTTCTCAGCAAAACGTGTTCTTTGGTCATCAACTTCTCTTTTATTTAGCCTTGAGGATTCCATG